AACCAACTGATTTTGCCAACTACTTTAATGATTTTTTCATTGGCAAGATTAGCAAACCTAGGCATGACATGCCCACAACAAACACTGACACTACACATACAAACATATCAGACCAAATTATGAAAGACAATAACTGAAATTTTTTATTCCGTAAAGTGAGAGTGGAAGAGGTGAAAAAATTATTGATGTCTTTCAACAATGACAAGCCACCGGGGTCTGACAACTTGGATGGAAAATTACTGAGGATAATAGCGGACGATATAGCCACTCCTATTTGCCATATCTTCAATTTAAGCCTACTAGAAAGTGTGTGCCCTCAGGCCTGGAAGGAAGCAAAAGTCATTCCGCTACCTAAGAATAGTAAAGCACCCTTTACTGGCTCAAATAGCCGACAAATCAGCCTGTTACCAACTCTTAGTTCGGTTTTGGGAAAAATCGTGTTTGACCAGATACAATGCTATTTTACAGTAAACAAATTGACAACAGACTTTCAGCATGCTTACAAGAACAGCACTTACACAAATGACTGATGATTGCTGGAAAAACGTATGTGTTATAGCTTTACACCCCCTGCTATATTGTGGATAAAGAGTTACCTCTCCAACATAATCCAGGTAGAATCAGGAATTCCCCAGGGCAGCTGTCTAGGCCCCTTACTTTTTTCAATCTTTACTAACGACACGCCACTGGCTTTGAGTAAAGCCAGTGTGTCTATGTATGTGGATGACTCAACACTATATGTCAGCTAATACAGCGACTGAAATGACTGCAACACTTAACAAAGAGCTGCAGTTAGTTTCAGAATGGGTGGCAAGGAATAAGTCATTCCTAAATATTTCAAAAACTAAAAGCATTGTATTTGGGACAAATCATTCACTAAGCCCTAAACCTCAACTAAATCTTGTAATAAATAATGTGGAAATTTAGCAAGTTGAGGTGACTAAACTGCTTGGAGTAACCCTGGATTGTAAACTGTCATGGTCAAAACATATTGATACAACAGTAGCTAAGATGTGGAGAAGTCTGTCCATAATAAAGCGCTACTCTACCTTCTTAACAGCACTATCAACAAGGCAGGTCCTACAGGCTCTAGTTCTGTCGCACCTGGACCACTGTTTAGTCGTTTGGTCAGGTGCCACAAAGAGGGACTTAGGAAAATTGCAAAGTCGAGGAGAGATTGACTTCATCACTACTTGTATTTGAGAGAGGTATTGACATGTTGAAAGCACCGAGCTGTCTGTTTAAAATACTAGGACACAGCTCAGACACCCATGCCACCAGAGGTCTCTTCACAGTCCCCAAGTCCAGAACAGACTATGGGAGGCGCATAGTACTACATAGAGCCGTGACTACATGGAACTCTATTCCACATCAGGTAACTGATGTAAGCAGTAGAATCAGATTTAAAAAACAGATAAAAATACACCTTATGGAACAGCGGGGACTGTGAAGCAACACAAACATAGGCACAGACACATGCATACACTCACGATAACATACACACTATGCACACACATACACATGGATTTTGTGTTGTAGATATGTGGTACTGGAGTAAGGGCCTGAGGGCACACACTTAGTGTGTTGTGAAGAATGTTATGAATGTATTATAATGTTTTTACAATTGTATAACTGCCTTAATTTTGCCCGACGCCAGGAAGAGTAGCTGCTGCCTTGGGGATCCATAATAAATACAAATACAAATGATATCCTGTACTCTGGGTATGAGTCTTCCTGTTCAGCTCCCTGTAGTCTATGCACAGTCGTAAGCTGCCGTCCTTTTTCCTTACACATACGACTGGGGAAGAGTAAGGAGAGTTGGACATCTCTACCCAGCCCTGTGCTATCAGGTCATGCAAGTATTCTTTCATCCCTTTGTATAATGGCTTCGGCACAGACAGGTAGGTTCGTGCAACAGGATCACTCTTTTAATGAAATTCTCAGATTTAGATTATCAATGCAGCCAATGTCACTGTCTGATTTGGGAAATGAGCTTGATTCCTCTCTCAACAGTTGGTGAATGATTTGTTGCTGCTGTTTGTTGAGGTGGCTCAGATCAACAGGAGGATATCATAAGTCTTCAGTATTTTCACTTTGTCTGAACTCTGTTAACATCAACGGGGGGGGGGGGGGGGGGGGGGGGTTGATGACAGTTCTCCAGCATGGTGGTGGGATAGACTTACTTTATTTCCTGCACAGTGCCAATTACAGTTCACCCTGTTAACATGATGTCGTGGTCTGTGACGTTCTGAACATCAATGATGACATGTGGAGAGGCATCTTTTCTCAGCTTTACTAGAGTCTCACAAAACTCAAGTCCTTCTGCCCATTGAGGATTTACATCAGGCTCAAAGAACAGTCCTCTTTAACGGGCTATGTCTGGACTCAACATTGAACCTGAACAGAGGTGCGATTTGGTATGTTGATCTTCTCTTTTGTAGTTTTCAGGTACTCGTATGACTGTTCAGCACTCACTAGCTCTATGAAAGCCTGGACATTGTTTTTCTTTAGGCTAGGAAAGGCCATTCTCATGTGCCTCCTGGCTGTTCACTGTTGTTGATGATTTGCTCAATCACATTAAAGCCAATAATGGGATGAGATAGATGTCTGCCCTTCATCATGACCACTGGGATGACTAGTTCTTTAATGTCAGTTGCCTCTGAGGCCAGTTCACTTCTATGCAACCTACATAAGGCATGTTCATTCCATTGGCAGCTACTATCTGTAGTGAGTCAGATTAGTCAATTATATCTGAAACATTTCTAACACTAGGTAAGTTCTCATCTTTCCACAGTTCATCAATGATACACACCTGAGAGCCAGTGTCCCACAAGGCTTGAGTTGTCAGACTGTCACGGTTTCGGCCGAGGCGGCTCCTCCTCCTTGTTCGGGCAGGTTTCGCCGGTCGTCGTCTCCGGAGTTCTAGCTGCCACCGCTCTATGTTTCTTGTTTGTTTGGTTTGGTCTGTTAGTCACACCTGTTTTGTGTTATGTCTCATTTAGCACCCTATTTAGTTTCCTTGTTGTTAGTTTAGTGTTGTGTGTAATTGTTCGTGTCGTGTTTGCGCTACCCGTGTCGGTACGCTATTTTCATAGCTTCCTCCTTGTGTGTTAGGAGAGTATTACGCACCTGTGTGTGCGCTCGCTAATTACGCCTGTGTGCGTCCTTTTGCCTCCGGGCTGTTTGGATTTATTTTGTGTGCTCAAGTAAAGTCTTGTTGGACTTATCCGCTGCTGCCTGCGCCTGATTCTACACCACACCTATACACAGCAACGTGACAGAATTACACACCAGAACATGGAATCAGCAGGAGCACCCGTCGACACCATGGAGGAGCGTCTCCTTGGTCAAGAGCACCGTATCAACCGGATCGGGCACGCCTTGGAGGGCGTCATGGACACCCTTCGTCGATGGGAGACCAGCGGGGTTCCCACAGCCCCACCTATCGCACCATCACCACCGGACAGCCAGCCCGTCCATCGACCGGAACCCAGTGGGATTCGGCTCTCGCTCCCGAGGGCGTACGACGGCACCGCTGCCGGGTGTCAGGGGTTCCTCTTACAAGTGGAGCTCTACATTGCCACCATACACCCGGCGCCCTCGGGATACGAGAGCGTTTCCGCCCTCATCTCCTGTCTCACCGGCAAGGCGTTGGAGTGGGCCAACGCCGAATGGAGGGGAATAGACGCCGCCACAGTCACCTATGCGGAGTTCTCCCGTCGCTTCCGTGCGGTCTTCGACCATCCACCAGAGGGGAAAGCGGCGGGGGAACGTCTATTCCACCTCCGACAGGGGATGAGGAGCGCTCAGGAGTTTGCGCTGGAGTTCCGGACTCTAGCGGCTGATGCTGGGTGGAATGAGAGGGCCCTCATAGACCACTTCAGATGTAGCCTTCGGGAGGACGTCCGCAGGGAGTTAGCATGCAGGGACACTACACTAACATTTGACCAGCTGGTGGACATGGCCATTCGACTGGACAACCTGCTTGCGACCCGCGGACGTCCCAGGTGGGGGCCCCCCATTCCACCCTCCAGCGCCTCCGAGCAGTGTCCGATGGAGCTTGGAGGTGCTGGCGCTAGAGGGAGAAGAGGTAGGAGCCCGAGGGGGGCAGTCTCCTGCACCAAGTGTGGGCGCGGAGGGCACACCGCGGCTAGGTGCTGGGGAGGGTCCCCTGGTGAGGGGGAGGGGGAGGTCATAAAATGGGGGCCCCCTGGGAGGGCCCACTTCCCCCGACTTTCC